TTTTAAAAATTACCAAACATATATGTATATAAAAGTACTATACGGTTAAATTAAAGAAATTCACAATCATAATCCCAAACGCATTTTAAATAATTCAAAATTTAAAATTTAAAATTTAAAATTCAAATTTTAGTTGAGTGAAAAAAAATGTTTTTTTTTAAAGGATATCCCTCTTATATATTTTATCATTATCATATGCAAAAAAATAAATAAATAAATTCAACAAACTGAATAGACTCATTTGCAAACGGAGCAGCATTCTTTCCAGCACAGCATATACAATTGGGCCGTAACAAGGGGATTTCGGATTTTCCTCTACATGCACTGTGCATGATTGGTTTGTTTCAGATTCAAAGTTTTATGTATTCTACAGATTCCTTTCTCCAGTCTAGTATTTATCTCCTAAAATTTTTCAGTATGACCTTCGCATGGTGACCGGTGGGAGAGACGTAATATATATATCTTCCTTCAAGCTGAGCAATTTGATTCCATCACAAAAGAACAGGTCAGCTGAAATCCATCCTTAGCTGCTCGTGGAATTGGTTCATTATTTAGCTTCAAGAACAATTGAAGAGTATGGGGCAATATTGTAGGTGCTGCGGCTGCTGCCGATGCTGGGGACTCCTCCAGGAACAAAGTCGTCTGGAGAAGCAAGATTGGTGTCCGCCTACAGTTTTCAACAAAGTGATCCAGATTTTAAATTTAAGCTATTGATTATGAATGAAAGAATCGAAAATGGGGGAAGCCAAGAGTAATAAACAATCAAACCATGGACATAATGGGATATCAGGTTAAGTAATGTGCACCAACCACACGAAACCAATGCCTGTTTGGTGGGGGAGAAGGGATTTGAGCTTTAACGAAATAGTCATGAGCGTTGAATGCCAGATAGACATCGTCTCCACTGCTGTCTTGAAGCCTGTGAAACAAACAGTTCAGCGGAAATGCATGAGAATGCAGAGAAATGGTGTGTACTTATAAAGGGAACACACTTGCACATACAGAAACACACAAGGGAAAGAAATAGCAAAAAGAAAAACCAATACAACTAAACAAACACACACACTGCTTCTTATATCAATCAAACCACGTCAGGACCTCTAAGGCATACTCCTCTGGGAGTGATGGACTGAAGGACAATTAAACAAACAGTCATATTTGTTTTTCCAATTTAATAACTATACCACAAATGCCAACTCCAAATTAAAAATCAGGATACCAGAGTGATATGATTAAACAAATGAAGCAATTAATTTTGCTGTATGAAATCCACATTACTGTAGTTAACAAGAATGACAGTAAGGCCTTACGTAAAAGCGAGAAATTTGCTGTCAAAATTGTCCCCCAGTTATCCTCGTGCCATGTGGCATCACTCTGCACAGATGAAGCAACTCCATGAGATCCAGATAAAGGGAATAAACAAAGCAGTACGTCAAAACACAAGTGATAGGAGATGTAATTTGTTCAGAAAATTTTCATGTCTAAACACTTGATGCGTTGCCAAAACTTTATCACCTCTGAGAAAAACCTGAAGTGACTACTCTTCCTCACATGCAACTGTTTAAACTAAGTGGTTACCATCAAACAGTTACTATCTGGATTGAATCTGTCAGAATAAAAATTAAAGAGCTACCTGTTTCCACTGAAAATTATTAATAGCAGTATCATGCCCATAACTGTTGTTATTTCCATAGCGCGTATGACCATATTCATCCCCCATCAGCATCATTGGTGTTCCCTGATCAGATGAACTCAAAGAGTAACAGTATTGAGTTGACGTTCAATATAAAGCCAACAGTTGAAATCTGGCCCAAACATTGGAAAAGTAGAGTTTGGATGCATTACCAGTGATATCATCAGAACCAAATGAAAGTTTTTCATTAATCGGGAGCATAAGGCCTTGACACTAGCATCATCAGTTTCTCCTGTCCAAAAAGAAAAAAATGGCACCTCTAGTAAGTTCCTGCAGTGTTACTAAGGATTAGGCCCTTAGCATCTTCAAAACTAATTCTAATGTACATTAGAATAATAAATAGAAAACATTAGATTACTCTCAAAACCACAATTCAAGCTCAAATGTCATTGCATACATCATTTCCACCTTCTCCATTGGCATCATTGTGCTGCGAAACCAACAGTTAAGGGTAAAACTAGATTCTCCACCTCAGGAAATTCATACCATTAAATTGACACTGAGTTTTAAATTACCTTAAAAGTGTATGAAACAAGATTATACAAAGTGAACCCATCATGAACGCTGACAAAATTAATGCTATGGTAAGGTCTGCACTTATTGACCTGCATAATAAGCAGAAAATGTGATCAAAAGTATCAATGCCTTGATCTACAGCATCCAAACATGAAACTGCAAAAATTTGAAAAAGCAAAGGAATATGGCGTACTCATTAAGCAATGACAGGTTTCATAAAATGATACTTACCATATAAAGGTCAGCAGATCCAGCAACACAAGTTGCAAAACTCCCCTTCATGCCAGGATCTCCCTACATTATTCATAGCTCATGATTAGAAATACAAATATCGATATTTCATTAGTAAGATAACTGCTCTTATCTTCCATGGAAGGCCATAGATCCAACAAGGAGATGGTAAGAAGAGACTTAACAAAAGAAAATTTGTAATCCCACCACAAAGAACCTCAAGATTCAAAGTAACAATGTCTTCTATAGTAACATAAAATACTAGGGAAAGTCAATAAAATTCTTCTAGTAAGCAATTAATGAATTCAAAGTAAACTATAATACAAATGACGAGCTAGGGATTCAAGCGGCATCCTCTGATATTTTCATAAAATCTTAAAACTTTTAAGGTTTCGCCCTTTCCACTGGGTCCATGTTTATAGTTTATACCAAAGCCACTTCTCAAACCATCCAAACCACTTTCACACACATTATAAGATGAGATTTTCCACATGTCACCTTTATAAATCTTCTTATGTCATCACAGTGCTTTCCATTCCACCCAAAAATGATAAAATCTTGTAATTTTAGAAGAAATAAAAAGTTGACGACAAAGTAATAAAAGCCAAAATGCAGATTCCATGCAGTGCTGTGAATCTATGATGAGATTTAACCACTCACCACTGAGATCAGGTCACAGGAACATTTTCTCATTACACTTTTTGAACATAAAGGAATTTTGGAGAGGATAATGTGGGACAAACACAAGCAGCAACCCTCCTGTGGACTTGAGAGTCATAAAGTTTTAAGCTTGGGATATGAACCATTGGGAGCAACAACACCAAGGTACGCATACATGTAATTTATGATGAAAATAATTAAAATTGTTCTTAACAAATGACCTATACAGAACCCCAATTAAATGCATTAGTTCCTTTACCAAAATAGTACCGTGCACAAATTAGACAAGAAATACCTATCCCAATTTGGAAAGCTACCAACAAGATAGAGGCCTTCACAGTCCCAAGGTTCTGCTATAATTTTACATCTTGATAGGACAGCGTCTTTGGCAATTGCCTGGATAATCACAACAATGATAGGGTAACCCACAGCAATAAAATGCAAATTTTTTCTTCATTATTATTATTATTATTATTATTGTTTCAAACCATAGCTGTTAAATGAATTAAAGATCATATTTGTATAAATGGAACAAATACAGAATTGAAATGAAACCATGTTTCCGACCTGCAATGCATTGATTTTGAATGAACTTGTTCTAATTTATTCTAGAATCTACACTAACTGGAGCGTTAATTCTGTCATTGATTACAAACCCTTATAAGTGGGGGAGCACTAATTGGAGAGCCATCTGTTCCTCATGAACAAAGCACACTAGCTAGGTAAAGCAGAATCCATCCACCTGATATTCAACAACCCTAGAATAGGATCATAGATAACAAATAGGGTATCCAATTAAATGCTGATCAACCAAAAAGTAAAATAAAATAAATTGATACAATGTATCAAACTGCATAAAATATATCATACTAGTGTCTTAAGCTGTCTAGGATGAATTCCATTACAACAGGATGATTGCAATTTAAAGTGTTCCCTGAAGACCAATAAACATTGCTTTTAGAGGACTTCCAATGTGCAACTATCTGTGTAAAAGTGAGAAAAGGGTGTAGTCATAAACAAGAGTTGATAAAGTCACTTTCGAACTTCTTTCTCTTGCCAATAGATTCAGCTAGTTTATACTATTTTCATTTTTTCAATAGATTCAGCCACAGCCAGAGAAGACAAGAAAATGAATCACATAGAACACTCAAATTACCACACACAGAGAAGTTTAGCAATTGGCCACCGTTGTCCACCATGTAATAAACCTGTAAATAATTTTTTTGGATAGATGGTTAAGAAATGATGAAACAATCCATCCACAGATTGACAAATCCTGCTGTACAAGATGAAAAGATCAAGCTACTGTCTTACATTGGGTCTACAATGCCTAGAGTCCTTCTAAAAGCCACTAACAGAATAAAGAATCTAAAGGCCTTTTCAATCAGGCAACAAAAATAGTAGAGATCCATTATGAACTAACATTTTTCTGCTCCACGTATATGAAAAATATAAATGATGCAAGTTTAGGGGATCCATAGAATTGGTGAAGCCTGAAGACAGGATATAAAAAAAATTAAAACCTAGCTCTAACTTACATCCTTAAAATACATATTACTGTTTTTCACACTGCAAAGCCTGTGTTCCATTGAACCTTGAAGAGGATATCTCATGATTCTCATCCGTCCTTCTGCTAGTAATATTTCTCTTGATTGTCCATATGCTTTTCCATTTTATGTGGAGAATGAAAAGGGGGGTAAAAGAGAAAATTTCAAAACTTTTCAGTTTTCCTCAATCTCCTCCAACCAAAGCTACATGACAGAACTTCTAAACTATGTCCTCTTAGTCAATGTAGCATGTGATCCAAATATATATATATATATATATATCTTCGATTAATATGAAGTTTGAACCTAATTAAGGTGTAAATCACCTTATTATCTATGCCACAAAATGAGGTGGTATAAGGATGTTCATCATCTGCTTCATTGGTATGATTGTAGACAACGTCCAAAATAACCTGCAGATGACCACATTAGAAATGCGTATTCCATAATTTCAAAGAGGAAAACAACAAAAGGAGCAACCACCATTTAGAAAGAATGGCTTCTAGCCGGTACGACAGAAAAGACACATATTGCCTCTATGCCAGCCCCATGCAAGGCTTTAACCAATTCTTTGAACCCCCGGTAAGCATTGACAGGACCTCCACCAGCACTAGCATACCAACTCATAGGAACAAGAAATTGATTGTCGAGTATTCCATGTATTGATCTTAGATAATAAACAAGTCTTTCAATTTTCAACTTTTTAAGTCTATGGAAAGCAAAAGAGACAAGGATGAAAAAAAAAATGTATTGTTAAGAGATTAATTCATTAGCATAGTGCATTTCCAACTTGATTTTTAGGAGGCATTTTATGATTCATGTGCTGTTTGACAAGGATGCAATTATTTTACATCCAAAACAAATATCACCTAAGAGCAATTGTAGTAGCTTAAATTGACTGATGGAGGATTTTGTCCAGATATAAACAAATTTTTTGTTTTTCAGCAGAGTGGGGTGACAACCAGTGTTGTCAAAATCTAGATTTAAATATTAAAATCTTATGATTTTACGATTTCAGTAAGGTATTTCGTGTAAAATCTATACTAAAATCTAAAATAAGGTAAAATCTCGATTTTACCTTCTGTTTGGCAGTTGGACTTTTTGTCTATTTCCTTTTGGGTTTTTCATCTTAGATTAGTGAGTTTTGACTAGATAATCCATAAATTAAGCTCATTTTTCATTTTAAAAGCCCACGACCCACACAACCCAACCACAAATCAACATTTTAATCGAGAATTCGGGACAAATTTGATTTAACCATCTAAAAT